ATGCAATGATGAAGAATGTAACTAACTAGATGACGATAAATAAGGAGCTCGAAGATATAAATGGTATTGTCAAAAATCCAGACGTCTTGCCATGCAACATTCAATAAAACGGACGAAATAAGAAAAGGCTCCTTGCGAAGATGGCATCAGGTGGAACCGGTGGCATCAAAAGGTGAAGCACGAAGATAATAGTGCACTTGCATTCGTACTATTTTAATGAACTGAAAATTCCAAACAATTTGACTTTGGCGATTCTGCTCTACGAAAAAAGAGACAAATGGCGTTTGAAGAATCACAGACTAATCGGTTTACTGCCAATCATCTGTAAGATCTTCACGAAGGTACTGACGAACAGACTTCTAGAAAAACTGAGATTCTGCAAGTCAAAGAAGCCAGCACACATTGAAAGTTGATTTTTAATGACGGATCATGTTCAGGTGGTAAAAGAAGTAACTTAGACAAGCAACGAATATCGATTTCCTCTCTGCCTAAACTGGGTCGATTTCAAGAAGGCATTTTGACTCATTCTACATCTGTTCTGTACTGGAATCCTTAACAAAGTCAGAGAATCGAGGAAAAATACACAGACCTAATAGCCAGGTTTATAAGAATGCAGTCATTGGTGCAAAGCTTTACGACAGCAAAGGCAAGTTCAATATGAAACAGCGTGTCACAGCAATGCAATTTACATCTGGGAAAATTCATCTCTGCAATGAAGAAACAACTGTAAATTCACAAAACAGTATAAACGGCATGGAGCACTTCGTAACACTAATAATGTTCTTATCCAGGAAAATGTGTTTGTGCATGAAAAAAAGTTATCGACCAGTGTGTACTTCCAATGCTAACCTATGAATGGGACAGGAGGACCATAAATCTCAAAGCTATTCATAAGCTGCACACTAGGCAATACAGCATGGAAATGTGTGGTTGGGAATAAAGAGAAAATGGGAGGACGAATAAATATCTAAAAGGGCAAACAGAAGTCGCGTAATGTCACTACCCAAGTGAAGAAGTTTAAGTGGCAATGGGAAGAACACGTTGCAAGAAGAAACCGATATCTCTGAATCAGACCAACATTAGACTGGATTCCAAGAGAGAGCAAACGGCCGATAGCAAGAGGTCTAGAAACTGTTGGATCAAGATGGGTAAGAATCACAGGAAACAGAAGTTTATGGAGAAGTCTAAATCCAGCAGCGAAAATGGCTGATGATTTGCTTGAACATAAAAAAATTTTAATCGAACGTTTTATTAATTTGAAAATTTTTAGTCAAAATGTTAAATGATTTTATATAATACCAAGAGGCAGATGGTTAGGATATACTGAACAGTTGACACTGCCACGTTCTGCGATCAGGTCCGTCAATTTTGCCCAACTGGGAACGAGTGGAACAATCTTGTAAAGTTAATTATCGCTGATCCCAAAGAAATAGGGACATGTGTCGAAGAAGTCGGATGAATGAATCAATAATTAGTATTACTGATTCCTCGCAACGTTTAATCTATTCTATTTTTGTGCACAGAATGATCATGAGGGATGTATGAAAAAAACGTTGCAAATTTTAAATTTCAATTTAAGTTTTCTCACCCGTATCGTCCATTTTTCTAACCATGCTCCTCGCACGAATCGGCACAATCGAAGAGAGAAAGCCTTTTTTATGCTTTCCTTGCGATGACGCTATAAAAATGTTATTACAGTATTGCATAATATGAACATATAACATAAAATAAATTACAGTAAGATTATGTGAAAAACTGACGGTTTGCATCAAGCTTTTGGCCCATACCTAGAGTTAACTAACAAGTTTAAAGACAACCAAGTCTGATCTGAAGCATCAGTTTCTCATATAATATGATTTTAAGCAATGATCTGATGCGTTGTTTTTCCGTTCATGACATTCAGAAACACGCTATTATTTCCTGCCTCGAAATCCACGGTACACTACAAACTTTCGTTTGAATCCATCCCCTGGCAGAAAATCGTATAAATTTCACTGACAATGATATATTGGAAAAAATAACAGTGTCTAGCAATTGGTTTACATTTCTGCAGAAGGTCAGCACGCTGCGCGGCCGCCTTCGACTTCCGGTAGAGCGTGAAATGGCGCTTCGGCTGCATAGCAGAGCCCCAGGCGGACTGTACGACGCTGCGGCTGACGCAGAACGCGTGTAGCGGCGTGAAGTAGGCCGCCTCAGCCGTATGGCAGGACACTGAAAAATAAACGCAACGGTATGATGGTCGAACTGGAGTCGAACTAAAATCTTTTTACGGATTCTGCGTATTTCCTCGTACTGCTTGCCAAACGCCGTATCGCCGCTGCTCGACAGG